CAAGAGTTAAAATTAAACACTCAAGAGTTAAAACTAAACACTCAGAGTTAGTCCAACAAGCTGCCTTCAGGCTATGACTCTGTCTTACAAAGACACAGAGAAACAGAAGTCAAAACAAAAAAAAATATAAGAAAATAGAATAATTAACCCAAGAGAAATAATTTTACTACATGTAATAAAAAAATAAAATAAAATTATTTTTAAATAGTTTTTAGGAGTTCTGTAACTTTTCTTCATCTTTATTTTATTTCTGAGTATGTCCTGAACAGAAGCCTGGTCGCAGGTTGTATTTTTGGCCTTCGGGAGCTTCCATACAACAGGAACTTACTTATCAAACTTGTGGATCTGCTCCTCGTTGTACGGCAGACCTGACAACACAAACAGGAAGTTTACGTTGGCTCGTGTGTCGGCCATGTTTTCACTTTTAATGGTGCCACTGAGATCCAATGAGAGTCTCACGTCTTTCTGCTTTGTCCTTCTTGAACTGCTGGTAGATGGCGGTGATGGAGTCCAGCAGCACTTTGATTTTCTCCACACTGCAGAGACACTCGGCGTCAGAACCAGAACCAACACACAGTCTGTGAAGTCTAACAGAACCTTACTTCCTGTCGTCGGGGTGAGTTCCAACTTGCTGAGTCCAGCCGTCGGTCAGCAGGCCTCCAGACAGGAAGTGCTTCTTGATGTCCTGAGTCGTTCTCTCCACAGGTTCCAGAGAACCAGAGATCTGCAGCACGTTGGACAAACGTCAGAGAAACCTCCGACAGACGCTTGTAAAGTTCTACACTGCTCGGACACCAACTGGACCTCAGGCTTTCCTGTGAAGATGAGGATGAAGGGGCGCACTCACCCTGAGAACCTTCTTGTGCATGTCAGAGATCTCGTCGTACTCTGACGACAGCATGCTGGCCTGCATCAGAACCTCGAACCTGCACAGCACAACACACGTTACTGCTCACTAACCCAGGTAGACGAACGTGACCAGGTGGAGTCACGTCCTCTGGAGGATTCTTCTTCTTGAAACGTTTCATCTTTTATCCAAAACTCTTCTTCAGCCTGAGGAGCTGCAACAAACTCCTCACAGAGAAATACTGTGTCAGTATACATCTGCAGGTCAGAGGTCACTCGTTCAGGGATGAAGATGTTCACATCCTTGATAGAGGAACGTTGGTTTGAGAGGAGTGAAGGAGGCCATGCCCGTCCATCATTAGACAGGGGCGGAGCCTCCGTGTCCAACTGTCCCCCTCTTACAATGCTGTGATTGTTCGTATCACTCAGCCTCTGTGAATAACAAGCAGCCATCACGGCACTAACGATCCATCAACGACTGATCCTGTGAGCAGCTAGTTCTGGATGTCGACAACAAACTGGTTGATCCACCGTGAGAAGGTGAGTTTGTTGCAGCTCCTCAGACTGGAGAAGATGAAACGTTCCGTCCAGAGGACCCGACTCCACCACGTCACACGCTGTTTCAGAGGCAGTCAGGTGACCCAACACCTGCTGCGGGTCGGGTCAGAACTCGGTTCTGAGCGTCAGACTCACAGCTGCTCGGTCTTCTCCAGCGTCTGAGTGCAGAACGTGCAGAGACGGAAGACTTCAGACTTCTTGTGCAGAATTTCACTGTAGTCCTCCTTCATCAGCTCGCTGCGACGACAGACAGACAAACAAACTGTTGAACACGCTGGGCAGATGATGTCCCACACAGCTTGGACGTCCATCAGACATTTACTGGACGTCTGTAGCTTCTGTTTGAAACATTTAAAAGAAGGTTCTTCTTGCTCTGTCCTGAAAGATCTGAAACGTTGTGAGAAGTTATTTTGTCTCCGGGTTCTTTTACATATTCAGGACTTGGATGTGGACCATCCCGACCCAGTAGCAGAACCAGCGTGAACCTACAGCGGGAGGACCAGCCTGGACTGGGTCCAGACCTCCTGATGTTTGGTTCTGAACCCTGGATCGGACTGAACCGTTTCTGTCGGTGTGAACTCACATTAGTCCTCGGACTCCTTTTCGCACCAGTTCCTGATAGACCAGCAGAGACTCGGAGGTTGTCCATAAGTGAGCCACGTCTCCTGCAAAGGTCTGAAGAACAACAAACTGTGACTAGAGGTGGAGAACATCTGACAAAACCAGAACCAAACCCCATGAACCATCAGGACGGTGCAGACGGTCTCTGGACCACCGTCTCAGTCGGGTCCGGCTCGTACCTTAGCATAGCTGGCGTCCAGGTCGAGGTCGTAGCGAGGCTGAACTTTAGGAGGACTCGCTGTGGAGACAGAGACTGAGCGTCAGACAGACCAGAGCTGCTCATGAAGCTGCTCTTACTGAACCGTGGAGGACAGAGGAACCTCTTACGGTCTTCAAAGATCAGTCCCACGGTGGCCACGCAGTCTCGGCTGACCAGCATGATGGGGTTGTCTCGGGACGTCTCGGGGAAGGTCTTGGCCTGCCGGTTGGGGTCGAGGGCGAGGCGGCGGCCCTCGTACAGCAGCTCCTGGTTGTGCAGAGGGATGCTGGTCCTGCGGCTCAGCAGCTCCTGGAACAGCGCGGCCCTGTGGACGCAGGAGGAACAGCAGGGTGAGAGGCGGCGGCGGCGGCGAGCTGCAGGTCCGGCGGCGCTTCTTACGTGTTGTACTCGTGGATGTAGACGTGGTGCAGCGTGGCCTGCTGCAGGCTGAACACGTAGATGACGGTCCGGTGCAGGATGTCGTTGGTCTCTGCGAAAAACTGATCGAAGCCCCAACATTTCTCCTGGTCAGCCTCCAGGATGTTGGCGAGAACTGGAGTCAGGAGGCTCTGAAGACCCCTGAAAGATCCGGAGGAGAGCTCGATGTTCAGCACGTTATTAACGGAGCCACCAACACTCGGCCTCAGCTGGACATGTTGGACCCGGACTGTGCTTGGTAGCGTACTTGGACAGACTGCAGGACACCGGCATCTCTGAGCTCCACTCGATCTTCCCGTTCTCACACTTCTGATGACCCGAGATCGTCCCGGATGGCTTCTCCGTGATGATCTTATACCTGAGACAAACGACAAGGCGCTCCGTCAGCTGATCTCAAGTCAGCTAATCTCAGGTCAGCTGATCCCAGGTTGGTCAGCTGATCTCAAGTCAGCTGATCCCAGGTCAGGTGATCTCAAGTCAGCTGATCTCAAGTCAGCTGATCCCAGGTCAGTTGATCCCTGGTCAGTCAGCTGATCTCAAGTCAGCTGATCTCAGGTCAGCTGATCTCAAGTCAGCTGATCCCAGGTCAGCTGATCCCTGGTCAGTCAGCTGATCTCAGGTCAGTTGATCCCAGGTCAGTCGATCCCTGGTCAGCCAGCTGATCTCAGGTCAGCTGATCTCAAGTCAGCTGATCCCAGGTCA